GCCATGTTTGGCGACCAGGTCCCCACAGCCTCTTGTGGACCTTTTCTGTCTCCCCCCCCCCCCCCCCCCCCCCCCCCCCCGCCCCCCCTCACCACCCCTCCTACCCCCCCCCCCCCCCCGCCCCATCCTTGCCAAACGGCACATGTGACCACATTTTCTAGCCTCCTCCGTCAATAGGAGGCTTCAAACGTAACGTTACCGAATTGCCTGCTGCGAGTGGTGAGAATAAACAGACTGAAGCTGTGGCCTGTGGAGGAGAATCAGGGTTTCTCCTCTTCTGACTACCCGTCAGGCCTGTTTGCTCCGGGGGGGAAAACGGTAGGAGAGGTGACTGGACTAGTGCAAACCTCTGACGTTACCCAGACCCTCCCTGCCAGGGGAGGTGTATCCTTACCTCACGGTCTTCTGGTTGCGTACACCTGCGCTTGGAAGGGACGCTCTGGAGGTGTGATGTGATCTGGGTGTTTCTTTTGGCAGCATCGGAAATAACACCCACTTGCGCCATGCGGGTGCCAGCTCTTCCCCGCGGCTTTCTCTGACGGATGGAGAGACCAAACCCCCGCAGGCTCCCGACTTCGGCCCCGCGCGCTGTGCGTGCTGCAGCCGGGACAGCCTTTCACTATATTGCTGTCTCTGTCCCTTCCCGTCGGTGCCTGGCTCTGAATTTTTACAGGGGCTACTAAAGGGGATTGCAGCGGCGGGTACCGAGGCCCAGCTGCTAGCGTTGCGTATCGCCGAGGAGCTGGCTGGGACCGCGGTGTTTGGATCTCGGTCCAAGACGGAGAGTTCAGTTTGCCGTTGCTGTTCATTACGCTTGGGGTGTGGTTAGTCTTGGAGGTGGGGTGGTTGAGAGGAGAAATGTTCTGTGAAAATGCGTTGTGTTAGTCAATGTGGGAAAACGTTAAGTGAAGGATCCCTCCTCGGTTTCTATTTATCAGAAGAAAATTAAAGGCATAGCGCCAAGGCTCTAAACTACATTTATCCTTCTCCCATTCCTCGTCCTCCAGCACAGCTACTTCCCTATAAATATTTCGCTTTTATTCTGTGAAGAAGATTACTGGTTCTGTGATCGTGTGGTAGAGCAGTACTATAAATCTTACAGTCACTGCGAGAATGAACTTTTGTTGGTACAGATGGTAATTTCTCAGCCCTGTTCTTGTTAACATGGGGTAGAGGATAAATTTTCCTCTTTTTTTTCCCCATTTTTTTCTTCTGCTCTTCTTTTGTATTGGCATTTCTGAATTCTGGACGGATGCTTCCTTTTCTGTGAGGTTATGGGAATCTTCAGCAGTTTTACTAAATGAATTTAAGACACTTTAAATACAGTTTTTAGAAGAGGTCAAAAATTGTGAATTCAACTTGAAATTACTTTATGTTATCTTCGAAGGTTTGTGATACCCAAGTTAAAAAGTTTATTTCCTTACAACAGTTCTTTCAAATCATGAGAATAGCAGTCTAGGCTCTCTATTGGTCTGAGAAATTGTGATTTTAAATAGATTTTTTTTTCTTTAAATGAAGAGCCAGAAATTAATAGAAAATACATTGGGAAACTTACAAAGCTGTATACTCACTTTAGCTGTATCGTTGGTTTTCAAAAATTAGGTCACAGCAAATAGTTTTCATATGGATTATGATTTGACTCTTACAGAGATCCGCTAGGTTGTCTGAGATTGTTTGCCTTTTCTGTATGCTGAGCATTTACTTCCTTTTTGGGACAAGAGTTAGACACATCTTTCCAGAGAGTAACCCTTATAAGATTGGATTTTGAGACAATTTACTTCCATAATTTTGTAGAGGTTTGTTACAAATATGCAGTGGTGCTATCCAGATGACACAGCTATATTATAAAAGTCAGATATCGTCACCATCCCTTCCTATTATCTTCAGTAAAAGTTTTTCTGATGATCCCCATGTCTCAGCGAAATAGCCACCGGTTTTCATTTAAAACCACCTGGCAGAGAAATGTTTCCGTCTGTAACACCCACATGCAAATCTGTGATGTCCCCTGGAAGTGAAGCTGATCTGTGTTGCAAACTATGCTACCTTCAATCCTGCAGCCGGATGTGTGCTGTCTCATGAATCATAAGGGCTAAAAAGGATGCAGCACTTCTCTCCTGTTCTGGATGTCCTGATAGTTAGCAGTAAAAGTTTCCAAAACAGTACTTGTAATTTTCCTTTCCAGCACTCCTCATGGCAGAAAACTGTAGGAAGAGTTATCGGTTAAACTACTGTATTCTTCACATGATGGTCTTAAAATTGTGGATCCAAGGGTATTTGAGGTGTTTCTGTGAGTAGACTGCATGGATTTGAGGAGAAGTGGAAAAGATGAGGGTCATCGGTAAGGAGGCTGTGTCCCTCTCCTTCGGGTCTGTACCTCTCTGTCTTCCTGAGCCCCGTTGCTGACCCTGAGCTAACAGCCCTCTTGTAAACCCTCTCTGCCAGTTCATGCTGACATCAGCGCGTATTGCAGCGTGCCAGCCTGGGAGCAGGGCACTGTTACAGGGAGCAGGACTGTGGACAACATAATGCTTTTGCTGCTTGCGCTGGAGAGTGGCAGAAATGCATGCTTCGGTTTGAAACCACCTGCTTGTCTCGTTCCAGGAACTTGCCCTATCTGTCAGTTTGTTGGCCCACTGAGTTTCCTTCAGCAGTCTGGGGCTAACGGAGTTTGTCGCACCCTTAGGATAAAGGCATGCAACTTGTACTGGCTTTTGACTTTCTTTTTCTAGGTGTACCTGGTCGGTGGCAGAGACCTCATCCTCCCCTCACCCATCCAATATCAGATTTCAAACTGCTGTGTGTGGTGTTTGGGGAAGGGGAGCATTCTGCTGTCCTGTGACCTGTTGAATACCTTGGAGCAATGTGGTGAGGAGTTAGGGCTTTTGTGAAGGTTCCTCCTTTTGCTTTTTTTGCAAACAGGTGTACCTTGGCATGAGGAACACATTGTTAGCTGATTGCCTTGAAATTGCCTTTACGTCCAAGGATGGCTTTTGCATTCCTGCTGTAATAGGGGCAGTGTCACTAGGTAGTCCTGAGAGCGTATCTATATGCCTTTGTGCAGTGAAGTGTGGTCCCAATCCGGTGTATGGCACTGAAGACTCAAATCCGCATAAGCATGCCGATGCTTACCTGGCACCAAGTAGAAACTGAGGCACCTTGAGTGCAGTCCACAAAATCTTTCCGTAATGGTGCACCTGAGAAGCTGTGTGTTCCTGTGTGTCCGGGGCATATAGGACCAGAGCATGTGAGTGTCTTGGCTGCTGAATTGCTTGCTCTCTGTCTTGCACCTAGGCCTGTTTGAGAGTCACAAACTACGTAGTCATATGCTTAGGTCCTCTAAAAGACTCGACGCTAATACAGTACCTCTATAATGCCTATCGATACTCAGTGCTGAACTCAAAGTGCTGGTGTCACAGCGATGGGCGCTTTCCTAACATGTAGAGGACAGGCAGTATTGCTGCTTCCAGCTACCTTAGGTGTAATAGCCTGGCAGTTAGGAAGCAGTTACCTAAGCCCCGTACACTTATTGGCCTGAAGAAATTGTGTCCTAGACGAGTGCCATTACATTATAACTTAGTGGAAACAGTTTGGCTCCCCATACATAGAAGAATGAAAACTTTATGGGCCCAGGAGCCTAACTCAATGTCAAGCCCACTAGGAAGAGCTCTCCTGGCAAAGGAGCTGTCTTGCTCTTGTGCTGCATGCTTCTGGTTACCCAGGGCTGTTAATGTAGCCTTTTTTAAAAGTCAGAGAAGTTTCAAATACCGAGAGGGCTAGGAGTAGGTAGCAGGTCCTCCTCCCTCCCAGCTGAACGATCTCCTTTTGGGGCTTCAGAGCTTTGCCTTTTTGTTCCTCTGTGGCTGGGAGAGCTTCACCTTCCTGCATGACACATCTTTGACAGCAGCATGGAGAGCAGTCTGTTGAGGAGGAAGGTCTTTACCATGGTAGACTCAACTCTCATCCACTCTTGTTTTCCCTGTATCACATTGGCTATGCCAGATTTTGTGGGTATCTCTGAAGACTGTAGTCTCTAGCAACTCTTAGTTGGAGCTCGGCCTCACTGACCCAAGCTTCTGCTGCTCCTGTATGAATAAATGTTTGCATAGGACACTGCTAGAATGTGCCATGGCCTCCTCTGCAGACTAATTCACATTGGAGGCATTTTTTCCTGTTTTACATGGTAGGTACTCCTGTAGCTGAAAGGGAAGAGGTTCATGTTGAGTGGCTGATGTGTCTAGCCTGAAGTCCAGATGCTGCCTTACAGGTGACTGATATGACTAACAAGTTGTGAAGAAGTGTGAGAGGGAAAGTTTTCAGTGAGGCTGAAGAGAGAAACAAACCATCATTTGCAAAAATGGGGGGCAAAAAACATTTTAAAGGAAAAATAGTTTCAAGTGTACATTTGAACACTAGATACCCACAAACAATATAGTTGTCTCAGGCTATAGGGTGCCTTGACATTGAACAACCCCAGTTAATATACAGCAAATTTCAGTCGTAGACAAATCACAGAAATATATATATGTATGTACTTAAGCTGAAGTTTGCTTATGTGCAATTGTGTGCCTTATCTCATTGGGTTAGTTAAGTACTAAGTGCAAACCACGGCAGCTGTGAACACAGCTAGCTGAGTTCCAGTTCTGTTCTTCTGTGCGCTCTCACAGCCCCAAAGGACCATGCATTGGGACAGCCAATGTACTTTTCTCCACCCCTGCTGGAACAGTATCTTATCAAAGGGGGAACAGCTATAAATAAACCTTAGACAAATTTTGGCCAGAAATTAGAAGAAGGTTCCTAGTTACCACGGCACTCATTTTCTGGAGCAAGTTTAAGTGGGGACAAAAGCTCTTACTGCCCT